ACCTCTGTCAAAAGCAGAGACTGAAGCCGAGACTGGAGCAGAGACTATGGAGCAGAGACCAAAGCAGAGACTGAAGCAGAGACTGAAGCAGAGACCGAAGCAGAGACCGAAGCAGAGACCAAAGCAGAGACCGAAGCAGAGACCGAAGCAGAGACCGAAGCAGAGACCGAAGCAGAGACCGAAGCAGAGACCGAAGCAGAGACTGAAGCAGAGACTGAAGTAGACACTATTTTCCTCATAAAGACTTTTCATACAACAGAATGGTTTAAAACTAACATATCTCTGTGTTTGGATGCCCCAGTTGGAGTCCAGACCTGAATCAAAGTGAAAACATGTAAATATATCTAATTAGACAGAGAGAAAGTTGTTGTGTAAAGAAGAATGGGTGAAACAATCGAGATGTGCACAGCATGTAGAGTCATACCCATAGACTGTATACAGATGGGAATGCTAAACTGCTCAATGAAACCCAATAAGGAACCCCGCAAATACAGTTATCTGATTGGTCAATCCATATCAATCCCAACCTATAAACACCAGGATCACAGAGAACGATAAACCACAGATTTTTATGCCCAAAAATGGCGTGTGACACAAGCAGTTACTGAACTAGAGGAGTTTAAGTCAATAGGAGCCAGAGCGAGATGGAGCGAAACTTCATCCATGGGCATCCTCTTGGGCTTCTGTTAGCATTGTCCATCTATATAGAGTCTATGTTAGCATTGCCCATTTGTATACTGTCTGCGTTAGCATTGTCCATCTATAAACAATCTATAATAACACTGATTACTATGAACTACCTATGTACTAGGGGTGTGACGATATATCGATTCTTTGATATATCGCGATACTTTCTCACGCGATTTGATTATCGATATGCATTTGCCAAGTATCGATATCGATTTTTTTTATTGGTATCGATACTTAATATATGGCTACATTACGCATCTCCATTCCATTTATCATGAAATAAAGTGTATTTTTTCTTTTATTTATGCCATAAATTGGCATATTCAGAATCATTTTTCAGAATCAGAATCATTTTTATTGCCACGTAAGTAACAGGAGGTCACAGACTAGGAAATTGCTTTGGCTCAGTGCAACAGTCAAAAAGAGATAATAAAAATAAGAATAAAAAAAACACTTCTAAAGAATAAATTTAAATTTAAAATAGAGTTACAGTTACTATTTACAATATACAAGTGCACATGGTGCACACAATGTAAGGTGACAGCAGTACAGTGAAGTAAAGTGACGTATGATGGGCAGTAAAGTGACTTTATAAAGGGCGGGGGGACAGGTTAAGAAGTGTTCAAGAGTCCAACAGCAGAGGGAAAGAAACTGTTCTTGTGGCGGGAGGTTCTAGTCCTGATGGACCGCAGCCTCCTGCCTGAGGGGAGTGGTTGGAATAGTCCATGTGCAGGGTGAGAGGGGTCGGCTGTGATACGACCAGCCCGGCCTCGAGCTCGGGCGACGTACAGGTCCTGCAGCGATGGAAGGCTGCGGCCGATCACTTCCTCTGCAGAGCGCACAATGCGCTGTAGTCTCTGTTTGTCCCTGACTGTGGCTCCAGCGAACCACACGGTGACGGAGGAGGTGAGGATGGACTCGATGATGGCCGTGTAGAACTGCACCAACATCTGTGCAGGCAGCTTGGCTTTCCTGAGCTGCCGCAGGAAGTACATCGTATTGTATATTTCTGACCAATATATCGATAATCGTCATATCGTGATAAAATCGTTATTGTGATATTGTTATTGTGATAATATTGTTATCGTGATAATATCATTATCGTGAGCTTTGTATCGTGTATCGTATCGTATCGTGAGGTACCCTTAGGTTCCCACCCCTACTATGTACTGTCTATGCATTATTTTGCTGTATACAGGTTTCGCAAAAAACACAAAATCAAAAACACAACTCAAATCAATCAAATTAGCCAAAATATTTATAACTTCAGGTGCTCGAACCAGTGTCCGGTCTATTTTTAGTCCCAGTGAAAGCCCAGTTCTTGGCATCTTCTCCTTCACTTTCTATAATGGCGCTCAGTTCGAGTGGAGGTCACGCCGATGGAGACGGGGCAATTAGAGCACTTATTCAAATTAAGAGGAAATAGAAAGAGGAGACGCAAGCCTACGGGGAGCACGCACACTGCTTTAATCCCAGAAATTAATTATTAGAGTTAAGTTGTTAAGATGGAGTGGTAATGTGTGGTCTAAATGAAAGCGCTTTGGAATTACATAGCATTACTGTATATATCGGTCTATAGAAAATGTGTGTGAATTTCCTGCTCAGCCTTTTGTATCCTGCCGTTTCAGTAATAATTATTTGCGGCCTCAAGCAAAAAGTTGTAACGTTGCATGTTTGAGTGATATTAAAGCTAGGGTACCTGACTTCAGTTGTTGTATGTAATGCATGTAGTTTGTAGTTCGTAGCCCATCAGTCTCTGCTTCAGTTTCTGCTTCAGTTTCTGCCTCAGTCTCTGCTTTAGTCTCTGCTTCAGTCTCTGCTTCAGTCTCTGCTTCAGTCTCTGCTTCAGTCTCTGCTTCAGTCTCTGCTTCAGTCTCTGCTTCAGTCTCTGCTTCAGTCTCTGCTTCAGTCTCTGCTTCTGTCTCTGCTTCAGTCTCTGCTTCAGTCTCTGCTTCAGTCTCTGCTTCAGTCTCTGCTTCAGTCTCTGCTCCAGTCTCTGCTCCAGTCTCTGTTTCAGTCTCTGCTTCAGTCTCTTCTCCAGTCTCCTCTGAAACTCAGAGCGTGCCATAGATAACGTTACAGGAATGAAGCAGCAGTTTCGCGTGTGTTTGGCCGCAAACAAAGAACCAGTGTACAGGACTGTCCCTCGGAGCCGCAGCTGTCCCGGGACGGCTGCGGCTCAGGGGGGGGGGTGGGGGGTTATAGTCCGTGTTTTCAAGAGTTACATATTAATCACAAAGACTTTAAGAAGACATATTGTGCTCTACTTGGCTAAACATGATAACAGGGTAAACTAACCTCCATAAACAATGCATATTTCATCTCATTAGAACACATGTTATATGTTGTGTTAGAAAGAGCCCTGTAATTCACTATATGACTGAGAGCTGATTGGCTGAGACAGGGTGGAAAGCTGATCTAAACATGTGACAGAGGGCAGAGAGTGAGACCAGAGAGAGATCAGAGAGACCGGAGAGAGAAACCAGAAAGAGAGATAAGATAGTGATACCATAGAGAGAGACCAGAGAGGGAGATCAGAGAGAGACCAGAGAGAAACCAGAGAGAGACCAGAGAAAGAGTTCAGAGGGAAACCAGAGAGAGACCAGAGAGAGAAACCAGAAAGAAAGATCAGAGAAAGGTACCAAAAAGAAACCACAGAAAGACCAGAAACCCATTGAAACTAGTGATAGAAGCAAACTGTTTAGAACCAGGAACTATAGTTCACCTTTGTGCTTTGAGAGTTACATACCCCAGCTTTAACCTCAACACTGACTAAAGCTCACCCCTGTATGGGCTTGATTGTTTTGTTGTCATTAAAATCTCTACTTCAGTCTGTGTTTCAGTATCTGCTTCAGTCTCTGCTTCAGTCTCTGCTTCGGTCTCGGTCTCTGCTTTTGTATGTATATCATAGTTATTTTGGGGAAATAAAGTAAAAATTCATGACTCCGTTGACCTCAAACACCAGGAGAAGTAAATAAATATGTGAAAATCTCACTCCTGCTGTTTCTTTTCGTCACGACTCGTTTTTGTGGCCCGAGTCCAAACAGAGCAGTGTTTTCAGCAGCGACGGCCGCGGAGGCTGCTGTATGTGTCACACCAGACTGAGTCCAGGCCAAGTCCAGACCCGAGCCAAGACCAGAACTGAGCCAAGACCAGGACCATGGGAAGTCCTGGTTTGCCCACGCAAAGCAATGGGAGAGGCAATGTGCAGAGAGGCTTGAAATGTAGGGGAATAGTCTCCTTTAGTCCTGCTGAAGGTTGTTGGGCCCGTGTTGTTTGGGCCCGTGTCGGCTTTTCACCACAGGGAAGACGAGAAGGTGTCAAAACAGACTTCCAACTTACAAAATTAGTGTTCTAAAATCACAGCTCAGCCAAGACCAGTGAGAGACCAGAGAGAGAGACCAGAGATAAAGCAGCCTACAATTCATACCAGTGGTCGCACCCTTTTTTTCTGACAATTTACACTAACACTAAACCTAATGCTTTATTAAAGTTCCAGTCATATTAAAAACACACAGACAAACATTGAAAACTCAGCCAACTATAAACCATTTGACGATCTCGATTTGGGGATGGTCATATATATTTGTTGGTTCACCTGAATTTCTCCAAATACATCTGTTTTTGAATATTATTTTTCATCTATTAAAAAACGTATTCAAATGAGAGACCTATGGTTGTTCTGTGGAAAAGTTATAGGTTTATAAATGCAAGTTATCAACACGTCTATCAATGTCTGGTGACGTTATTCCAATGCGAAAGAGACTTATCTTGTGGCTTGATTTTTCAAATGTATTATCCATCTAATTTTACGTCAACATTCAAGCAGCGATACTGGGACCTTGTGACTATTTTAACTAAATTACCAGCCACTTCTCTTAACAAATCTTGGCAGATCTATGCTAACCTGAAAGCTTAGAACCTCCTCATTATAACAACATGTACTGATAAAACTCAAGAGAGTGAACAGAGACCAGAGAGAATAGTGAGAGAGACCAGAGAGAGACCAGAAAGATAGATCAGACTCAACCACTGAAGCCAGATCCAAATAGGCCAGTGTGTATGTGCTTCTATTCACAATATATGTGTGTGTGTGTGTGTGTGTGGGTATGCATTTATAGTATGTGTGCAGAAATGTGTTAGAAAAACTCCAGTTCAAAGTTGCCACCTGTCTCTGTTTACAAATGCACGCTCGTTCACCTCCACGGATCACCAGATCAAAAACAGCAAATTTACGATTTAAATCCTGCATTTCTCCCGCTACAACTTTCATTTCCCCCGTGGAGAAACTGCATCAGCGCGTTACTCACACTGCAACAGGAGAAGCAGCACAATGGAGCGACATAGCGACGGTCCTCCCATGTTTCACCCCGAGGCGAGCGCTCCTTTCCCGGCTTAACGGACTCCGCTTCTCACGCCCGTCCGACGCATCCAAAAAGCCAATCTGAAAGGGTGATTCCAAACGGGGCAGAAAATGCTGTATTGGGGGTGGAAGAAGGCAAAAAATAACAGCAGAAAAATGTGGAAAAATGTGTTGTTTTGGCTGAGGTTTTGAGTTGGAAATAGCGACGGGGAAAGGAAAGGTGTGTGAGGATATAGAGGGATCGCCTTCTAGTGGCTGCTGCGCTCAGAGATGCGCGTAAAGAGGAGCAGGGGAGGGGAGGGGAGAGAGAGCGGGAGGAGAGGGGAGAGAGGGGAGAGAGGGGAGGGGAGGGGAGAGAAAGAGCAGGAGGAGAGGGGAGTAGAAGCCCACGGGGGGGGGGGGGGGAGTAAAAGGAAGAGCCATCTCAGCGTGCGCACTGGAATGGAGATGGACAGATCGTAGATATGGAGTGGTCACTGAGAGACACTAAGGGCGATGAGAGAAAAAAAAAATTAAATGTAAGAAAGATTGGCGTGTTGTTTGGACCCGTGTCGTAGCATTGCACCTGCTTACAATTCATGACAGTTCAAAGATAGAAAGTGATAGAACAATAGAAAATGGACCAACCACATTCTTTTTGACCATTCAAAATGATAATGAGGCTGTTGGCTTTGTTATTTCATGTTTGAGAACATATTTATTTAGTATTATGTATTGTATGGGGAAACAAGTGTGAAGGCTAAAAGAACCCAATCTGCCTGTAACTCCTTATGTGGCCACCAGAGGGAGGAGGAGATATTGCTCGGTGATTCTCTGTAACGGGTGCCTTTTGGGTTCTCTAGATTTAGAAAAATTACCATAAATCATTGTATTATTGAACATTGCATCTGACAAAGGAGTATCTGAACCTCTGGTAAAATACTGTTCCCCACCTTATAAATGGAATGCCAAATATTACTAGCAATTAGCAATGCTTTTTGTTACGGGGTTGAAGATTCTAGCTAAAAGTAGCCATAGCTCCCATATAAGCAAACATATTAGCACCACATGGCATTGGGAAATCATGAAATGTATATACTTTTCCACACAGTTGTTTGATTCTTCCTAAACAATATATATTTATCGTTTATCTGTGTAAGAGTGTTGAAAGGTTGAGCATGACAATGTCAATCTCACACAAAAAAAAATGAAATATGCTTTAAAATGTATGCTCATAAATACCTCTCTGCATAGCATGACCTTGAAAAGACTTGAGTAAGTAACTTTCTGAAGGTTGAGTATGTTGGACGGAACAATTATGATCAAAAAGCGTGGAAAATGCTGTGCTGTTACGGGGTTGAACAAACTTGGGGGACATGATTACATAGTAGCATTTCATTAAAAAAAACATGATTTGTTTTCAGTTTTATTTTTATCTTAGTTGAAGTAAACAGGATAATGATTATATTAGCAGAAGAAATGGGGTTGATAGAATTTTATATATGTTTTAGATTGAATGAAAAAGTAACTTTGGACACGTAAAAGTGTGAATAATGTAGTTTTTCTTCAAATATGTTCTTGTGTAACATGTAAATACACATGTTATTTTCTGTTTCTTGGTTAAAATGCATTTTATTGGTAACTTTAAAAAAAAAATCTTTGCGTTAAACCTCTGGGACACAAAAGGCACCGGTTACAGAGAATCACCCAACATCATCCTTTTCCCTGAGTAATCATTTTGTTTTAAAGCTAAGAACTGCTCTGAGTGTGATGCTTTAGTGGTGAATGACGGACAGATAGACAGAGCGATAAATAGATAGAGCTACATGTTTGTGCCAGAGGTTCAGAAGTAAAATGTAAAGCTGAAAGGAAATGTAAAGCTGGGGCACTTACTTTTATTCATAAATGATACAAGTTTGTTTGCATCAAAGAGCTTGCTTTGACGCAATATCACCACAAACATTCAAATCAAGTTAGCGATTAAATGTTTTGTTACCTGCAGAACGGTTACCTGTTTTTTTTACTTGGGTCTGAACAGTGCTATACCAATAACCTTGCCTCGACTGCATTTAGACCTAGAGATTGATGTCTTTTTGCCAGATCTTTGAAATTCGAGGACAGAGCAGATCTCGTTTCAATGACAAGGCAGTGACAGTGGTCTAATTGGTGCGACAAAGACCTCTGTGTGCCTCTGTGTGTGCATGTATGTTTGTGTGCCCGTGTGTGTGTATGTGTGTGTGTATTTAAGGAAACTCATTGAATGAGAAAGTGTGTCCAAAATTTTGGTCTGTACTGTATAGAACTCTAGTTCAGTTACAGTGACAGTGTGTGTGCGTGCGTGCGTGCGTGCGTGATGACCACGACCCAATGGGTGATGACCCATAGCAGAACAGGTGGTCAGCAGAGACAGATGCGGACAGAGAAAAACAGCTCACGTTAGAACAGTGAGTGGAACAGCTGGGAGAGACATGACACTCCACATAATGAGCAAACACTTGTGATGATTGAAAGAAATCGACAAAACCAAACAACGGGAGAAACGTCTGAATCCCAAACACAAAAACGACTAAGAAACCAAACTTCTGCTCATGTAACAACACTGTCCCTGCTCAAAAACAGATCTGGAGCATCCATCCACACTAATATATTATCACCTGTCCATTCAATTGAATTCAGTTTACCTACCGTAAACTGAAACTTACAGTTTACATTGGTCTCTGCCTCCATTAAGGGGCAGAGACCAATGTCCATAAATGTTGATAGATTTAAAATGTAAACCAAACTTTTTAGTAAGAAAGCTACTTTTGGTTCATGAGACATGTCCAAGGGCCAACAACATGGATTTAAAGCGTGCTTTGACTGGATTCAGGCTGTTTTAAGCTGTAGGGCAGGTCGAAATGTGTGATCGCACCACAGCTACATAAGCGTCAAGTATGGATTTTTTAAATCAAAACAAAGGTCTGTCTATACTTCTACATTAAACAACTGGATCCCAGAGTTTCTGATCTTGACGATGAGGATCAGCGTTTCTATGTTGTCGGAGCTTAAGTTGGCTGGATGACACAGTGAACTTGTGTTTATAATCTCTATAGGTACTCTCTAGTGGCAGAAGACCACAGAAAAGGATACAGAAGTGGTGTTAAACTACTACTGTAGCCACAGCTGCCCTGGGGCACACTGACAGAAGTGTGCCATTGGCCCCTCCCACCAAACATTCACGCACACACCAGACTGATTCTAATGTGGGGGATGTGTCTTGCTTAAGGACACAACAACAGTTTGGTACTTTACAGCCGCCCCACTGTGGCAGCTGGTGTTCTCTGGAGTCTCCCATCACAGTCCAGTGATATAAAAGTCCAAACTAGAGCACAAAAATAGACACAAACTGAACCAATTTTCTCAGCTCAAATGCATCAACAGCTTTTCTGGATTTGAATGAGATGTTACAAAACAAAAGTAGCTAAAATCCAAGTCTGTCCAAATGTTTTAAAGCTGACAAACAGTCTTACGCCTCTCTGCTTTCGCTCCGTCGCGTCTCGTCGCCTCAAACAGAAGAGAAACATGACTCATTCATCCGGACGCTTTAAGTTCAAATCTAGGTTTAATTTTTAAAGCAGCAAGAAAAGTATCGTGACCATCTCCTGTTTGGATCTTGGATGCTTGGATTTTAGATTTTCCGTTTGCCAAAAACAATGAAAAATGTATATCTGCATCTCCACCTGAGATCTTCAATTATTTAAAGACACGACAGTCTCTTGGTTGATTTCTCATCACAGCTTTGAACCGAACACACGAGAGATAGAAACATAAACGAACTTTCAGGCAAATTTTGAAGATTTTTTGAAATGTTAGTGAATTTTAGAGACTAAGAGAAGCATTTAGAATTTATACTGGTTTGTGCTTGTTGCAACATTGTTTTTGAGACTGTGTTTAGATCTATACATACATTTTCTTCTACTTTATCCATGACTGACATTTCTCTCCACACACACTTCCTCCAGCGTTCCTAGGCCGGCTGAAAGACACAGTCCTTGCAATGTGTCCTGGGTCTTCGCCTGCTCTCCTCCCAATGGGACACGCCTGGAACGTCTCTCCACGCTGTCGTCCAGGAGATGCCCAGGCCACCTTAACTGGCTCCTCTCCAGCGGCTCTACTCCAAGCTCATCTCGTGTGACTGAGCTCCTCTATCTTTAAGGGAGCTCACAGTCATCCGCGACCTAGTCCTTTCGGTCATTACCCAAAGCTACAGACGTTGTTCCCTCTTCACTACAACAGTGTAATACATTTCTAGAAGTCTAAAAGCTCCTGCATCAATCCTGCAATAGTGTGATGTCATAGTGCGACAATGATATCACACTATTAGAGTTTTTAAACAGAAGTATTGCAGCTACATTCAGTTTGGTCATTTCTAAAGTGAAATGTTTGTGTTTAGAGCCAGAAAGTTTTCAAATTTGGGAAAAAAAAAAAAAACAGTTCAACCCTTGCTTTGAAGGGTATGCATGGATTGTTGCTGCAAGTTAGAGTTGTCCACTACCAATTCTGCTACTGCTGTTGCTACTACTACTACAACTACTGCTGCTACTACCAGTCATTACTACTAGTACTACTGCTGCTACTGTGTTTCTACTACTAATAATACATCATACTTATCTAGCGCTTTTTTAGACAATTGTACAACTACTCCGATCACTACTACTACTCCTACTGCTACTGCTACTCCTCCTGCTGCTGCTCCAGAGCAGATGTCTGGCAGTTACAGTAAACTGGGGCTGAACAGCTGCAGATCTGAGAATCGATGACTCGGCTCACACTGACTGCAGGACCTCAAAAGTCATTAGAAAACACTGCATAATATTAGAAGAGCCGTCAATCAAACATGTGCTACATTAGATCATGCCATATGTTCACAGAGGAGGTGGGGCCGAAACAACGATGGGAGGTGATTGGTTTGGCAGAAAGCTTTAAAACTATGATTGGTCTGTTGGGGATTGATTCACAAATTTTTCCTTCATTTTTAGAATCTACTATTAATTCACCAGACACTTCTAGCATATTTATTCAAGTTAAATTGTATGTTACTGTAAGCCTACATCTGGAATACCCAGTGATAAAAAGGTGCTAATCCACCAATAAATAGTGTTCTGCTGTATCGCTCTGCCCCTTTGTCACAAGTAGAAATGCTTTTTAAACATTGCAGAATAATCCTGAAGAAGATGATAAAGTCTGGGATCGTGTCTTTAATTCAGACAGAAGACATGTTTTAAGGTTGATGGTAGACGTACGAACACGCACACGCACACGAACAAAGGATGTTAGACAGCAAGTGGTAATATACTCAGGAGAAACAGAGACCTCCAATCAGCGTTTTCCACAGTGTGCTTGTAGCTTCAACCTTGAGATAACCAAAACAAGTAGTGGAAAAGTACAGGCTTCTGCACATTGATAGAAATGAGTTTAACTTTAACAAAAGTTGCTTCAAAGTGTTATAGTAATAATAGGAGGATTGTGAGATATCATAAGTCAGTACTAATATTTACTCTGATTTGATTGGCTGATGTACGGATGCATTGGAATGTATTCAGATTCAGATTCATTTATTTCGCCATTTGCAGTATGTATACACCACATTGGAATACATTTGTAAAAGTTCCCCGTGTGCACAGGACAAGTACAGTATTGATCCCTTATGGAAACTTCTGCTGCATCTACTACTACTGCTGCTACAAGAGCAGATGTCTGGTATGGTCTCACTTGCAGCCTTAATGAAGCTGTATAGCAAAACCAAAATACTAAATACTAGCCTCATTTGACGCCATAGGGAAACGTATAAACAGGGGCATGCATGCTGTGACCCGGTTATACTGTTGTCTTTTCCATTTCCAAATCAATTTCTTCTTGCAGCACTACTTATGCTGTATATAAAAAGCAACATACACAATACAAGCTATATTTGACACCATTGGAAACCTAAAGCACAGACAAAAGTTGGGAACAGTTTATTTTGATAGAGGCTGTAGACAGGGCTGTCCTTCTTGTCCTCTCTTTGCTCCCTATAAGGTTGCCATATTTGAAAATTCAAAGTATAAAGCAGAGGAGGGCAATGACGTCTCAGGTGTAAGGAAATGTAAATGATTAGAACAGACATGAATCACACTTCAACGTATGAATAAATAATTCAGTATTCAAGCAAGGACCCATTATATTTGTTGTGAAATCAGGCCAAACAAACTCACTATGGAACCTTCCTATTTCACTTCTGATGTTCCTTTTTGTTTTTATTCTTTCATGCAGATTTGTGTAATGCTGTATTCCACAGCTATATTCATTAAAGTCTATCTTATCTTAACTGTGAATGTGTGTAAAGAAAAAAATGTGAAAAGGATTTGTCAGAGGCTGTAGACAGGGTTGTCCCATGTCTCCTCTACTACTTGTTCCTTGCCAAAACCACAAAAGAGAAAAACAAAACAAAGGCCAAATTTGACGCAGTTGGACTCTGTATAAAAAAAACCTCTCGAATTTCCACGCGGCTGCAGAGCATGATGGGAAGAGCGGATCTGAACAGAGCGACGTCAGCAGCTGGCTTCTCGGCGGAGCAGCTGCAGTCGTGGAACACACAGAACACGCGCAGATTTGCAGTAGTGACATGTTTTTACACCCAGGCCACTGTCACGCTGCTAATGCTGACAAAGTTTAAACAAAGGTCGTAAAGAGGCACCGGGTGAAAGGGGAACATTTCATATTTTACATCAGAGATTAAAAAAGGGAAGGGGTCCAGATATTAAAATGCAACTAATACTAAAGCTAGAGCTGATCAGGCATTATTTGTGCGCCCTTTTGTAGAGGTAGAAGTGGGAGAATGTGTGTCAAAATCTTTTAGACTGAATACAGATGGATAATGCTAACTCGTTTTGCTCCAACTCGCTCTGGTTCCCATTGACTTATAATGTAAAACTCTCCATTTTGGGACTTATCAAAGTTTAAACAGAAGAGGTCGGGGGTGGTATTTGTGCCAGAATTAAGATTAAGAGATACTTTAATCATCCCACAGTGGGGAAATTTCAGTTTTGCATCACCAGTTACAGAACAGTAATAATGAAAAGCACAAGATAAATGAAGTAAGTAAGTAAGTAAGCTTTATTTATATACCGCCTTTCACAGACCAGAGTCACAAAGCGGTTTACAATTGTTATTTTTTGGGCACTTGTCCTCTCACTCCACACAGAGACAGGAGTGGGGTCGCCGAACAGGAGGCGCATGCCAGACCTATTGTACATATTTTTAGTGGTAGGGGAAACCGGAGTACCCGGAGGAAACCTACGCAGACACAGGGAGAACATGCAAACTCCACTCAGAAAGGCCCTGTTCCGGCCGGGATTGGAACCCAGGACCTTCTTGCTGAGAGGCGAGAGTGCTATCCACTCAGCCACCGTGCCGCCGATGAAAACTAACTATTCTCCTGATATTAGCGCAGATGGTTCTAAAAAAATATGCAGGTATATACATCTATACAAATCTGAACAGGGGTCCCTCGTTATAATGCGGTTCACCTTTTGATATTTGTCTCTGCAATTTTACATCTATACCCAAACAACATTATATAACCGCTTGTATGTAAACAGTTACCTCATTTTAAAGTGAACTTTAGAGGCTCTCTAGTCTCTCTGTCTCTGGTCCCACTCTCTCTAATCTTCCCATAGTCCTTGGTCCTGCTCCTGTGTCCTCTGCAAGTGTAGTTCACAACTGCAGTGTACTGTATGCATGGCTTTTGACAGCTGCAGCAGCGCTCAAACCTACAACCAACAGGTTTGATATCTCTGGTCTCGCTCACTTCAGCAGTGTTAGCAGGCCTGGCTGTGAGCGGCTGGATGGCAGTGAGATATACCCAAACAAAGTTGACGGAGGCAGGCTTCAGCTTGGTCCACTTATTTTTATTTTCTGTTTTTCCTTTTTTTTTTAAAGTGACCAGTGCAGACAAAGAAAAGGGTGCAAAAATGCAAAACAAACCAACACAGTGGATGAAGGACAGGAGCATGTGTTCCCCAGCAGCAGGACAATGGAATGGTAAAAATGGGCGCCTTATATACTACTGGGTAAAACCAATTAAAACTCCAGGGGTATAGCATTAACATTAGCTTCTAAAAACTATGTTAAAACCCTCCATTAAAATACCAATAACCAGTTACAATAATAAAACACCCCCCTACAAAAATATACTCCTAAAACACCCTCCTACAAAAATATCTATACCAACTATGACTAAAAACAGTGCTAGATCCCCCCTCCACCAATTCATTGACTTGGTCCAGCCGGAACCATAAATGCCGGTGTTTGTGGCCCGGGGACCCTTTTGGCCCACGCACCTGGACACAAGACAGTGGTGAGTAAACACATTTTTAAAATACATATCACAGCCACACTTATATCATTCACCCACTAAAACCACACATCACACACACCCGAACCCATACCAAACACAACTAACTCAAACACCACATATATTGCACAAAGCCCCACTCAAACTGTTTTGTTTGTCTCCGCAGACCGGACTCTGGACAACCCAAGCCCTCAATAAATGTCTTTCTACCCAACAGTTGTGTGCAATTTATTATATGTGCAAATTAGCATGTGACAATATGTGTACAGTGCAATTTAAAGTGTGATGTGACATTTAAAAGGTAAATTCATAAAGTGCAGTGCGATATTACCCGTAAAGAACAGCTGTTCTTTACAAGCAGTGATGAGGTTAGAAAAGTGTATAAATGTATAAAGTATATAAAACAGACCGTTACATAGACTTTTTTTAATTAAACAAGGCCAAGTTTCATATATTTATCATAACATAGAACATATTTCTGTTTATGCCTCAAACGTTAATTGCTTGCTGCTGATTGGCTGGGAGCTGAGGAAGTGGCCAACGTCATGTCAGGAGCGGGGACTTCTACCTGTAACAGACAAACGATAGAATCAAGCTGTTAATTTGTTAGCTGTGTCAAAAGGCAGTGTTGTGTAACCCAGGACAACAGCGGTAAAGGTTGGCGTGTATGTTTGACCCGTGTTGGCTTTTCACCACAGGGTCGAAACCATCAAAATAAGTTCTCTAAAGTGGCATTATAATTGACTATATCGCTCCACATTTGTGCGAAACTTACCATAGACATTTACAAACTATTTATTTAGCAAGTCCCTCCTGATTGGCTCTTGGTTGCTAGGTTGTTGCTACCTATATATTTGAATACATTTGGCTCCAGATTCCCGCTCATAAAGCCTGTTCAAGCTTGCTCTCATCAGCTTCGTCCGCAAAAAGGCCAACACTATGGATATGTATGGGTGTGTAAGGCAATATCCCAACCTGACGAAGCTTCAACCACTCAAACACAGCTCCACGGCTTGTTGCGCTGACTTTGTGTAAACTTTTGTCCCTTGTGGAATTTTATAACCTTCTTCACCTGACCCATATTTAAGCAACGACAGAGAAAACTGCTTTTATTGTTGTCTAAATTACTACTGTTTGTACATGCCCAGGGCTGGACTGGCCATCGGGCGTACCGGGCAATGCCCGAAGGGCTGATGCCCATATTTGGGCCGGCCCTTCTGCCTCATACAAAAACAAGTTTGGGAAAAGTGTAAATCCGTTGAGAAATGTTCGAGGGGGACGCTCGTGTCCGCGGGGCACCTGCTGTATGTACTCAATGGGATTCCGCCACCTCAGCGGCCGCAGTGTTTTGGGGCAGCCGCGGCTACTTTGTAATGTGTTGTGTTGTGAGCGGTTCCCGCGTCCAGCTCAGAGCTGCTGGACGAGGGAACCGCTCACAACACAACATGGTGAGCGCGTAGCCGCAACGTGACCATTTAAGACCATAAACGCGCACAGGACCATGCGTGTCTGTGCACCCAATAAATACACCGCTGCAGGAAACAGTCCCCGTCTCCACTCTCCTCTCGAAACGCGATTAAAGACATGTTTATTACTCTCTTGTAATGTAGACTATTGCACTTTATGTTATTATTGCAACTGCAGACATCCTGATTCTCTACAGTATTTGCTTCCACATACTAACCAGGGGTCGGCAACCTGCGGCTCTTCATTGCTCCTCGAGTGGCTCCTGGAGCCTTTTAAAAAATGTCTGAAAATGGAGTGGGAGGGCTATATTTTATTCCTAGTTTGATTTGAATTTGGTTTCTGTCAGAGGAAAAACATTAAAATTTTTAAATGCTGTAAAAATGTGCGCAAGTAATATACAAGGCGGCTGCTGCGGTAAACAAACCCAAACAAACAAACCCAAAGCTTTGGATCCCAAAGCTTAAAAGAGAAAGTCGATTAAAAAAAACTGGACCAAGAATAAGAATGAACATTTGCTTTCAGTCAATGAGGAAGGACGGCATCATGTTTGCGTCGAAATGAAAAGTTTTGTTGCAACACGAGGAACCATGAAGCGCAAAACACCGTTCACTGAAGGATTCATTCATCACAAATTCAGAGTACCTATTTTCAGAATTCAAAAACGTTCGCAAAGACGGTGAAAGAAAGGGCCATTCAGGACGTTAATTCAGCTCCAGCAAACTTCATGTGATCGATATGAACAGACAGTGATGCAGGTGAACTCTGAGCCAAAAAGCAGATTTATTTACTGTATTTGTACATGAAGGCAAAAAAATTGAAGTTAAACTTAAAGCAGTGTGAAAATACACATTTAATAATCATGAATGCTTATTATGTATTTGTAGACTTTGTCATTTAGATATTAAGCTAATATAGCTAATACAGCTTCAGCCTGTGTTATCTTCATATAAGCCTTATACAAGGATGTTATTTTTCTGCGGCTCCAGACAGATGTTGTTTTTAGTTTTTTTTGGCAAATATGGCTTTTTGAACCTTTTGAGTTGCCGACCCCTGGTATAAACAAACTTTAAAAAACGTGAAAAAACATGCCTGGGCCGCCAAGAAGGCAAAAATGCCCGGGCCGTTTTTTTGTCCCAGTCCAGCCCTGGACATGCCTCAGACAAAAGACTAGAGTGCAAGACAGGTTAAAGGCCGGACCGGGAATGAGGCTTTATTATTGCTGATGCGGCTATTAATGCTAATACTATTGCTTCTAGCTACTACTGCTCCTGCTACTGCTACCATTACTAACCTGATTAAACCAGCTAATTGCACATGTCCAAACAGTACTCTAGTCTCATAACATCATACAACCATTTAAAATATGTCTTTAAAAACATACAGTCTCCTCTAACTTCATTACCAACGTCCGGGAACACTTCAATCTCCCGGTTTAGAGCGTGGCCAGCCCCAAATCACAAAGCTATTAACTCAAGGAGACAGAAGAGGAGGCAAGGAGCGAGGAGAGAGGAGGCCAGAAGGCTGTATTAAAAGAGACCAGCTTCAGACAGTCATGGGAATATGTGCCGTCTGCTAAAAAACATATGGAAAGTGAGGATGTTATTGCGTTTTTATAGCTTCACGGAGACTTGTACTGAGGAACAGATGGTGTCCGATCTTGAATGAATGCTTTATATAATTTTAAATGGGAGAAGGTTAAATCATCTGTCAATAGAAACAGCCCAAAAAACTTTCTTCAAATTTGTCAGCGTTTACAAAGGTCCTTATGCTGGAAAGTATGTTTCACAATCTTAAATAGTGACTCTGTGAATGTAGATAGATAATTTGTTGATCCCCCGTAGGAGAAATTCATCCAGGTCGGTTTGACAGCCAGTTGCTACAATCACTCCTCTGTGTGAATCACTATTTGACTTTTTGAGCTGAGAGCTGATTGGCTGAGTGAGGGTAGTCCTCTCTTTTGTCACTTTTCTGTTTGAAAAAGCTGATCTAAAGATGTGACAGAGGCCAGAGACACATGACACTAGTGATAGAAGAAAAGCTGTTTTGAGAGCAAGATAATATAGTAACATGGCTTAATTGTTGTGGTTTGAAAGTTACGTACCCCAGCTAATGTCTGTCACATATCGAGAATCTGCTATTATTCTAAGCGTCTCTCCGTCCTCCTCTCCTGCTGTGGGTGAAGGGCACTCTGGCGACAGCACACAGTAAAAACGTAGCGGACGTGTTTTCACATTAGCAGATGACTTCACCGAGAGGATAGCAGCGACAGGCTAATGCTAATAAACCACGGCATCAATACAGACAATCACCAAGAAGAAGCCTCTCAGTATGGTCAGGTAATGTAGGGAAATGACCAGAGAGGTAAAACCAAGCAGTGCAGAGCGAAAACTCTAGATTGGATGTCAAAATACAGTTTACAATAATATAATAATAATAATAATAATACTAATAATAATACATCAGTTTTATATAGTGCTTTTTTTGGACACTCAAAGACACTTTACATGTCATTATTCATTCACTCCATACACTCCTGTAGCCACAGCTGCCACACGCATTACTGTGTGTTATAAGGTTCTCCTTGGATTTGTGGCAGTGGAAGGAACATAAAGGGGAACATGCAGGTATTCAAAAGAATCTAAATTAGAATACTAAGTTTAAAACTCTTTCAATACTAGAACATTCTTGATACTGGTTTCAATACAACAATTATCTAATAATGGCTGATTTTGGAAAATAAACTTTTATTTTTAACTAAAAATATGTAGACTTTTACATTTTCAACAAGTTCTTCTGGTAGAGTTTAAAATCAAGAAACGCAGCATTTGGGTTTTAAGCAGCCAAAACCTGGAACAGTCTTCCTCAAAATTCAAGACAGGCCTCTTCTTTGTCCAGTTCAAAACAGTTCTGTTTAGCTGTGCATACAAGGACTGTATTCGAATGCCTTGTCTATGACCTGTGCTATGCAAATAAACTCTCCTTCCCTCAAGAAATGGAACCATATGCCCTGTTTATGAATTCATAGGTCCAGCTGAGTGAAGGGTGGTCTTCTCTTTCACTGTCTCATATTTTTTTCAATGTCTCTCTGTCTCATAAAGCTGATATGAAAATGTGACAGGCGAGAAATGCATTAATAACAGTGATAGAAGCAAACTGGTTATTATCAGAGTTCCAATGTTGTGGTTTGAAAGCTACGTACCTCAGCTTTAATCCCACATGTCACAAACACAGAGACATTGGTGACGCATATCTTAGACCATTATAATGAATCTATATCTAATGAATTCCCTTTGTTCCTTGTAAACTCCACTCCGACTAATCCTCAACTTTGAAACTCCCAACATGTAATCTCCATCTCATGCTGACGTTTTTATTACATGCCTATTTTTGCATAAATCTAAAATATAGGTCGCGTTGCATCGGCAAAAGCATGTCAAAATTAAGCTCCTCTATTAATAAAACAGGCGAGGATGCCAGAAAACACAGCTCCGCATCCCAAATTAACTCCTAGCCTACTTTTTGCACAATTTATGCAGCAGACACAGCCAAAAAACATTAAAAACTTCTCTTTTTGGACGCGACAGACACCTCTCCGCTGTCTGTCCTTCCAAGTTTATTCTTTTTTTGAGTTTTGGCCAAAATAAAGTGAGAACGAAGCAGTGGAATCGTATCTCGGGATAAAAGCCGAGCTGGTGGCGCTGTCGTTAGCGCGTTTGCTTGTTTTTCAAGGGCGAAAACCAGAGAGTAATGCGTTTGTCACAGATGTAATGTTTCCAGAGGTCGACGAGAGCTAATGAGAAACCGCAGATTAAAGCGTTTAAAAATCACGATAATGAGATGTGTTTATGCGTCTGAATGTCGAAGGAGGAAGAGGATATGTGTGTAACTGTACAAGACACACAAGAGAAAGCTAGAGATTTATACTATTATATATATGATAATAGGACTGTTTACTTTGTCATTTCATGTATATATATGATAATAGGACTGTTTACTTTGTCATTTCATGTGTTGGAATGTGGAATAATAACTTGAGTAGAAAATATATGGAGACGAGTGCAGCTGCAGCTGTCAAAAGCCGCGCTTTAGACAGATAATACAAAGATAATAAAACAGAATAAATTAAAACTCTGGAGCTAAAAATTGCACTTTGTTCGGAGGTACTTAGGGGATGTGTATAATGTATTTTAGAATTTACATGTATACTTTACAGAGAGAGCTTAAAGCCACCCTGTGTAATTTTTACAGCTGCTCCATATGCAAAAACATGTTAACTAATAACAAATATGGCCTTTAAGATTATATACCTCCACCATGTTTTTTGAATTGTATTCATAGGCTTAGAATTTGACTTAAGTGTCCATGAGAGAGGAGTGCTCTCCATGAATATGCGCCATCTTGAACAACAGTGGTGGATAAGGGACAAAAAGAATGCGAGAATCACATTTTAGTTTTACATGAGCTACTGATATCGTTGCTTTCACCGTGCCTTCACAAGTAGGAAGAAGGAACCATGGAGGACCACAGTTATGTAAAAGAACGATCCAAACAACAATCTTTTAGAAAAATAATTATGCAGAAGTCCAACGTCATAGCAAGTGTCAACATCGCAAACCACACGCACAAAGACAGCGTTAACACAACAGGAGGCACATTGTGTAGTTTGTACACAACAGACTCACGTGAACAATCCGTAACTTTTTCACACTGACAATAATGAGAACGAGGCAGAATCTACAACACAGTCTCAGGATGTTCTGACCCGATCCGAGCGCAGTCCAACTACTGTGTCACAACTTTCAATTAAACCTATTAACGCTAATGCTAACATGAGCTTTTAGCCATGTCCAGACGCAGCTGTGTATATCTCCTGCTTCTTTGATCACCGTTGTTTTAAGCTCCCATAGACGTTATTCCTCCATGCGTCTCTTCTCTTCACACCGCGTTTGTAAAACTATATATTTTAATAGATCCATGGTAAAACTCAGTGCAGCCTCTGTGCAGCGGGTGCTGCGTCTGAACGTGGTCTTGTTTACAAGTCTCTTCCACGCGACTGTCAAGTGCCCGAGACGTTTGGAGAGATCCGGTCATTTATCAAACTAAAGTATTCTTTCCTTGGCAGTCTGGTGAATGACTGAGAGTTGAGGAGCTCTGTCTTTGATAGTGCTCCTCAACTATAAGGCCACCGTACTTACTGCAATATAAGATCTCAACGCTAGATGGCACTAAATATTACACAGTGTACCTTTAAGAGAGAATTAGACCAGAGACCAAGAGACCAGAGAGCCCAGAGAGAGTCTGACTCTATTCAAAGATAATTGACATGTTATACTAGTGGTTAAAGCTGGACTACCTCACTTTATTTTTGTATTCATTAGTAAAATTCAATCCATATCCATTGGCTTATACATCCCATTGAAGAATAATTAGTGATGGTTTGAGATGGAGTGTCATTTTAAATTAGATTGAATTTACTCGCAACATGGAAGAGAATTTATTTCGGGAACAGATTTTGACCAACAACAGCGGACCACTGGCCCCCACCAGTTACTACTTATGGGCTAGACACACGGGAGGCGACATCGCATCGCCTCCATTCATTTCAATGGGACGTGCGCGACATAGCGTCAATCGCTAGCGAGCCTCCTGCTCAGCGACGGGCGAAAAACGTGCGTGTGAAATCCTCCTGCTCGTGCATGTATCGTGCACGCGCAGGTCAGCGGCGCGATCCCAGAAAGTTGAAATCGGCTCAACTTTTCGACGCTGTCGTCAAGCCGCATCGCGCCCCGTCTGTCATGTTATCTGAGCGACAGCGTTGAGTTTCGCTGATCGCTCTCATTTGTCGCCTCCCGTGTGTCGAGCCCTTTATACAGCGAAACAGCTATCCAAAAGAAAGTCCCTACAAGAACGGCGAGAGGCCAAGCGTTTGAAGTACAGGGAGAGAGGCATCAGGAGAGAGGCACCCGGGAAGCGCGGTTGACGAGACTACTCTAGCACTGGGGCATGCAATCAAATGAGGAACAATAAATACCTTCGACATTTCCATTTATTTTTGGGGCCAAAACAAGACGTATCCAGCTCTGTAAACAACAGCACATGAGCATGCGCTTGAGTGGGAGGGGGGTAGTGGGGTGAGCTTCTTTAGTGCGGGGAGGGGAGCAGAAAGAGCGATGCCAGCGCTTACATTGGAAACTGCTGCTTCAAAGTCAAAAAGTGAGTTTGTCCAGCTTTAAATTATGTTGTATTTGATCTTTTTTTCACACACAAAAAATCCGGGAAAAAGGCGAAAGGTGTTACACTGAGGGACCACTATAATTAACTACATTACTTTATGTTCATGCATTGAATTGCCATCTGGTCTAATGTGTCTTTCAAGCTGTTCAAATGTATCCATAAAAATAAATTATAATAAAAACTATAATTATTCCTCACCAGTTTCTCTGCTCTCTTCCTCAGCTTCCTCCAGACCGTGTGATGAGCCTGGAACCACAAACACACACTCAGCTTCACAAGAACATCGTACTCTAATAGATTATAATGTTTCTCCACATCACCTGGAGCTGTGTGGGCAGAGACAGCCCCTGCAAGCGGCGATGGAGGCCCCACGGCCCGTGTCCCAAACTGTGGAGGGCGGTCACTTCGTACTGTGAGCACAGACTGGTCCTGGCCACTAGGGGACCGCTGGACAGGAGCACATGGTCCCCACATCTACAACAAGAGCAGTAATAAAGATATACTTTGGATTCGCTCTGTGGGAAGGAAGCAAATAACATGCTTCAGTATTATATCATATTTAACTAAAATTAACTAAGTAGCATTGCTGGTCCTTTTATATGACATTTATTATTGATGTGTCACAGACTGGTAAAAAAAAAAAAAAAAAGTATTTTCACCTGTAGAGCTGCACAATTCCTCTGGGGCTCTCCGCTGCCATCTTCTCCACTTCCTCCTGTTTACACCTGAACAAACAAACCTTTCACTTTCATGTTTCAAGCTCTCAAAATTCCATTTTAAAGCTGGGATACATAGCATTTCTTTCTGTTGGTAAAAAGACAGGCCAGAAATACATCAAACTAGAACTGTTTTAGAGCCAGGAACTAGAAAAAGAGATTTTTAATACATAGTTAACTTAGTTGTGGTTTTGAAAGTTACGTTTCCCGGCTTTAGATAGTTAAATTAAACATGTTATTGGTGATGCGTTTACTTGCTGTGGGAGAAAACCTCAAGGGCCACTGCCGGTAACACGTCCAGAGGCTCCAGGGGCAGGTTCTGCTGGATGAGGAGCTGAGCCGCTCGGGTAAGAGAGCGCAGAGACTCCTGCAGGGAAGAAGTATGTCATGTTTTTATTTTCAATATCTTTATTCATATAGCGCCTTTCACAGAGTACAATGTGAGCCACCTCAGGTGAAACCAAGAGGCTTAACGAGAAACTAAGAATTTAAATATATGGATAAACTATGATAGATGAGAGAAATAACCTCTATTACATGCTGCTAAGCTAACATCCATCCATCCATCCATTTTCTACCCTTTAATCCATTTCTGGGTCAGGGCGGTGGCAGTCAGAGATGCCACCCAAGTCTCATAGCTAAGCTAACATGTGATCCAATAAATACAGTTAAGAATCTATCTCTTGTCTCTCTTTGGTCTGGTCTCTCACTCTAGTCTCACTCTCTCTGGTCTCTTTGCTGTCTCTCTCTCGCTCTGGTCTCGGTCTCTCTCTGGTGTCCTCCCTCCTCTGCATGCTCCAATGTTAGCGGTGAAATCACACTCCAGATGCTCCCAGATTTAAAATAACAATATTAAAATGACATGTAAATATGCAGACGTCTGAAGCTACTGAGGTCTTTGGTTCTATCCCCATGTTTGACGTTATGTAGAGTTTGCATTTTCTCCCTGTGTCCCTTGTAAATGAAATGACTGAGCAGATCTAAAAATACACACAGCTCCTTCAAGCGCTTTATTGAGTCACTTGTTAAAAATAGAGGCTTTTGTTTCACTGCGTTTGAAGAAATTGGAGAAAATAAGTTCTCTCTCCCTGCCTGGTCCCTCTCGCTCTTGATTTTTTTCTCTCTCCCTGGTCTCTCCCACTTTCTCTTGTCTCTCTCTTTCTCTGGTCTCTCTTTGGTCTTGCTCAAAAATAAATAAATACTAAATAATAACGACTAAATAGGGTTTTTAATTTATTCAATTAAAACAGTTGAATATCAATGTTTCACCTCAGAAGCCGTCCATGAATCAAGCTGTGGATCCAAAACCACGTCACAACAGAAAGCACCGGAAGAAACTGAGAAAAGACCAAACAAAGCCCTTTAGTGCCATTTGTAGTTTGCAGCTAATCTGTATGTTCACATGTAATCATCCACTTTTACAACTGGGGGACGCAACTTTGAATCCACAACAATTTTGGCTCTAAAACAGTTTCTAGTTTTCATGTACAGTGCCTTGCGAAAGTATTCGGCCCCCTTGAACCTTTCCCCCTGAACCCCCTGAACAAAGATATACAATTTTAATTTTTTGTCATGAATCAACCACACAATCGTGAAGTGGAACGAAATTTATTGGATAATTTAAACTTTTTTAACAAATAAAAAACTGAAAAGTGGGGCGTGCAATATTATTCGGCCCCTTTACTTTCAGTGCAGCAAACTCACTCCAGAAGTTCAGTGAGGATCTTTGAATGATCCAATGTTGTCCTAAATGACTGATGATGATAAATAGAATGCCCCTGTGTGTAATCAAGTCTCCGTATAAATGCACCTGCTCTTTGATAGTCTCAGGGTTCTGTTTAAAGCGCAGAGAGAACCATGAAGACAAAGGAACACACCAGGCAGGTCCGAGATACTGTTGTGGAGAAGTTTAAAGCCGGATTTGGATACAAAAATATTTCCCAAGCTTTAAACATCTCAAGGAGCACTGTGCAAGCATCCATCCATCCATCCATTTTCTTCCCCTTAATCCATTTCTGGGTCGGGGGGGTGGCAGTCAGAGCTGCACCCAGTCCACAGAGCACCAGCCCCTCACTGATCCTCCTGCAGGTGGTGAGTCCACAGGAGCTGAGATCTTTCAGTTGGGGCTTTGGGCAAAGTAGGGTTAAGTGTCTTGCCCAAGGACACAACGACAGCAGTCATCAGTGGGAGTCGTGAAGTAGGTCTTACGGTGGGCTTGAACCCACGACCTTCAGGCCCAAAGGCCAATGCTCTACCAACTGAGCTACTGTCGCCCTATGCACTGTGCAAGCAATTATATTGAAATGGAAGGAGTATCAGACCACTGCAAATCTACCAAGACCCGGCCGTCCCTCCAAACTTTCATCTCAAACAAGGAGAAGACTGATCAGAGATGCAGCCAGGAGGCCCATGATCACTCTGGATGAACTGCAGATAACTACAGATGAGGTGGGAGAGTCTGTCCATAGGACAACAATCAGTCGTGCACTGCACAAATCTGGCCTTTATGGAAGAGTGGCAAGAAGAAAGCCATTTCTCAAAGATATCCATAAAAAGTCTCGTTTAAAGTTTGCCACAAGCCACCTGGGAGACACACCAAACACGTGGAAGAAGGTGCTCTGGTCAGATGAAACCAAAATCGAACTTTTTGGCCACAATACAAAACGATATGTTTGGCGTAAAAGCAACACAGCTCATCACCCTGAACACACCATCCCCACTGTCAAACATGGTGGTGGCAGCATCATGGTTTGGGCCTGCTTTTCTTCAGCAGGGACAGGGAAGATGGTTAAAATTGATGGGAAGATGGATGGAGCCAAATACAGGACCATTCTGGAAGAAAACCTGCAAAAGACCTGAGACTGGGACGGAGATTTATCTTCCAACAGGACAATGATCCAAAACATAAAGCCAAATCTACAATGGAATGGTTCACAAATAGATGTATCCAGGTGTTAGAATGGCCAAGTCAAAGTCCAGACCTGAAGACTGCTGTTCACAAACGCTCTCCATCCAACCTCACTGAGCTCGAGCTGTTTTGCAAGGAAGAATGGGCAAGAATTCCAGTCTCTCGATGTGCAAAACTAATAGAGACATACCCCAAGCGACTTGCAGCTGTAATTGCAGCAAAAGGTGGCGCTACAAAGTATTAGTGCAAGGGGGCCGAATAATATTGCATGCCCCACTTTTCAGTTTTTTATTTGTTAAAAAAGTTTAAATTATCCAATAAATTTCGTTCCACTTCATGATTGTGTCCCACTTGTTGTTGATTCTTGACAAAAAATTAAATTTTTATATCTTTATGTTTGATGCCTGAAATGTGGCGAAATGTTGAAAGGTTCAAGGGGGCCGAATACCTTCGCAAGGCACTGTATCTCTGGCCTCTGTCACATCTTCAGATTATCTTTTTCAGAAAGAAAAGTGACAAAGAGAGGACTACCATCACTCAGCAAATCAGCTCTCATCCCAAAGAGTCAAATAGTTACTTAACAGGTCTAAACAAGGTCTAAACTAGGCCTAAACCAGGCGTAAACCAGGTCTATACCAGGCGTAAACCAGGTCTATACCAGGCCTAAACTAGGTCTAAACCAGGACTAGAGCAGGACTGGACCTCTCGGTGTTATCCCTGTCGAGTAGTTACAGTGCCTTGCATTCACCCCCTTGGCTTTTTACCTTTTTTGTTACATTACAGCCTTTAGTTCAATGTTGTTTTAATCTGAATTTCATGTGATGGATCAGAAAACAATAGTCTAAGTGGGTGAAGTGAATTTAGAAAAATGTATACATAAAACTATTTTTCAGAAATAAAAAACTGAAAATTGGCATGTGCACATGTATTCACCCCCTTTGTTATGAAGCCCATAAAAACCTCTGGTGCAACCAATTACCTTCAGAAGTCACATAATTAGTGAAATGATGTCCACTTGTGTGCAATCTAAGTGTCACATGATCTGTCAGTACATATACACACCTTTTTTGAAAGGCCTTAGAGGCTGCAACACCTAAGCAAGAGGCACCACTAACCAAACACTGCCATGAAGACCAAGGAACTCTCCTAACTAGTAAGGGACAATGTTGTTGAGAAGTACAAGTCAGGGTTAGGTTATAAAAAAAAATATCCAAATCTTTGATGATCCCCAGGAGCACCATCAAAGCAACAGCAAACCTGCCAAGAGACGGCGCCCACCATAGACGTCGGAACTAAGGGTGCGGGGGGTGCGGCCGCACCCCCTCCGCGTGTGCCGGGAGCGAGAAGTTATCACTATCCTGCGTTCCTTGCAGCCCAAAACCCGCTCCATGCTGTCGGAGAAGCTTATGAAGCTCTGTCTGGCTAATATCTGTCGCAGCCTCTGAGCGCTCTTTCTCAGCCTCAGATTAGAGACCTGGCTACACCAGTGACGTGCGGTGGGGGATCAATCATGTGTTCATATGATTATACATCATATAAACCAACAGGACCTACAGGAACAGGAGCGGCTTATACACAATTTGTTTGGCTACAGCAGAATATGATTTAATGTCTGCATTGTTTTCTCATACAAAACGCAAACGTTTGTAAATAGTACAAAGTGTGTTATGGGCCTTACCTTAGGTATTAATGAACAGCACAGACCACTTCAGTTAGGACCAGTTTCATGTTTAAGTCCAGATAATAGTTTGGGCACAGACATGTAATCCTCCATTTGGAAATAAGTTCAATGAGTTTTAAAAAGTAAAAAAAACGGGTGTCTCCTCCGTAAACTCCGAGTTTTGCTGCAGCCGACTCCCGGGTAAATCCAATTTCTAAATTCAACCTTACCCTTCACCTCCTTTTCTTATGATTCATATCATCATTGGAAGCAAAACATTACTCTAAGTGCATTTTAAAAATTATCTTAAAATGTATTATAGGTATGTTAGCCAAACCTGTAGCTGCCCTTAGCAGAAGAAGAACAAGAAAGGAGCTTTCTGATGGAATTGGATGCAGCCAAAGTTTGGGCTCACAAGCGCCCCCTTGAGGCTTTCCTCACTTACAAGCTGTGGTTGAGCGCGATTAAGACCCATATTTGCTTCAAAAACACAATTTATGAGCCATCCTCTTAAATGTAAACATGTTGATTGTAAATTAAATATTTTTGAACTTTTTTAAACTGTGATAAACAGGGAAAACAGTTTGATAGCACCTCACAGGACTCTCCCTGTGAACTGTTGCTTTTTACGTCTCCCAAGAGAGGCTCGCCTCACAGCACCGCTCTGTCAAATCTGCGATTTCAAGGTATAAATAAATGAAATAAGGCACAGCACAAATCACTTGATAAAGTGACCAAACATTATTGTATCCATTTTATTACTTTTCTTTCTATGATCTTAGGTGAGGGCCTTGCCTGCCTCATCCGTGACCGCACGTCACTGGGCTACACAACACAATGAAGCCACCGGAGAGACTGACGCATGAATGCGTATTGAAAAAAAAAAAGTTCAGTTTGATAAGTGACTTGCTTGATATATATTGTTTATTTTGTTTTTCTTAACAATTAAGATGGTATGTTATTATCCAGTGTAATCCAAGTATGAGTCTCTCCCTCGACTCTCCCAACAAAAACCCGCCCCCCCTCTCAGAAAATAGTTCCGACGTCCATGGCGCCCACCAAAACTCACGGACCGGGCAAGGAGGGCATTAATCAGAGAGGCAGCACAGAGACCTAAGGTAACCCTGGAGGAGCTGCAGAGTTCCACAGCAGAGACTGGAGTATCTGTACATAGGACGACAGTAAGCTGTACGCTCCATAGGTTTGGGCTTTATGGCAGAGTGGCCAGAAGAAAGCCATTACGTTCAGCAAAAAACAACATGGCATGTTTTGAGTTTGCGAAAAGGCATGTGGGAGACTCTCAAAATGTATGGAGGAGAGACCTGTTCACCCTATTAGCGTGTCAAGTCCCCTGTTCCCCCACGGTCCTTCTTTTGAATGATTTTACTGCACTGGGGCTTAACAGACCTACCCAAAGGATCTTATTGGCTGGACTTACAGCTGCCAAAAAAATGGTTGCCACCAGGTGGAAGCCTCCTCACTCGCTATCCCGCCGCCAGTGGTTTATGATATTCATCGACATTGCGTATCTAAAACTTTCTACGTCTCGTATAAATGGCGCTAAAGAAGGCAAAATGTGGGTTAGTTTGATGGATAAACTTAAGTCTTTTTCCTTCTGAAAATGGCACTCACCCTTGAGTAGTACAGGTTTTCATGTCGATTTCTGTTTTGTTTTTGTTTTTTTTTCTCTTTTGCCAAAGGACCTAAGTGTACGCTCGGGCGTGTCTATATTTTCGGGTCTTGCTTATTATTATTGGTACTGATGATGATGGTAACAAAAATTGTAATAATACTATTATTATTGTTTTTATAGGTGTTGTTTGTTATTTTTATATATGTTTATTGTCAATCATTTTTATTATCACTATATAATTATTTAATGTAAGTATTAGAGGCAAAGTGATGTGATGCCGGGAGCAATGTGGTGTCTGGTGGTATTGACTGTAATGATGGCATTTTAACAGCCCAGTTACGATTACTTTTGGTAAAGATTCAGCTGCTATCTCCCTCTTAAAGGGCTTTGTAACCATAGACTTGAAATTCTGAATAAGTATACCCAAGTCTTCCTCTGTCAAACATAATGAGTTTGTACGTAAGTGTATGTATTTGTGTGTGAATGGGTACTTACAGATGTATGTGTATACAAAATGCAAAGAAAATGCATCCTCACATGCTGTTTTTAATGCACCTCACCCCGTTTTTATTGCACAACATCACATTCCCATCTCAGAAGGAAAGACTTGGTTACATATAAATTATATAAATTATAGTCCCTTCGGCAACTTTGCCCTGGTTTAACTTTAGTCATGGTAGCCACCACCATTGTTGTCTCCCTTTGCGTATTCTCTCAACGGACACGTAAAATCATGATCAAACACACAGACATAAAACCAACTTAAAGAGCATGTGCACACACCACACGTTCCCTTTTGTCTCCTGTCAAACGTCCTTTTCTACCTGCACCTTATGTTTCTTTGTGCCTTTTTGTATGTCATTATGTTTTCATATGTTTGTCTATTTTTTTCTGTATTGCTGAATAAAATGTTAATTAATAATAAAAATTTAAAAAAATGTATGGAGGAAGGTGCTCTGGTCTGATGAAACTAAAATTGAGCTTTTCGGCCATCAAGGAAAACGCTATGTCTGGCGCAAACCCAACACATCACATCACCCAAAGAACACCATCCCCACAGTGAAACATGGTGGTGGCAGCATCATGCTGTGGGGATGTTTTTTAGTAGCTTGGACTGGGAAACTGGTCAGAGTTGAAGGAAAGATGGATGGTGCTAAATACAGGGATATTCTTGAGCAAAACCTGTACCACTCTGTGCGTGATTTGAGGCGGAGGTTCCCCTTCCAGCAGGACAATGACCCCAAACACACTGCTAAAGCAACACTTCAGTGATTTAAGGGGAAACATGTAAATGTGTTGGAATGGCCTAGTCAAAGCCAAGGCCTCAATCCAATAGAAAATCTGTGGTCAGACTTAAAGATTGTTATTCACAAGCGCAAGCCATCCAACTTGAAGGAGCTGGAGCAGTTTTGCAAGGAGGAATGGGCAAACATCCCAGTGGTAAGATGTGGCAAGCTCAAAGAGACTTATCCAAAGCGACTTGGAGCTGTGATTGCCAATAAAAAAAAGACAACATCTTCAAAGTTGTGGGCATGTTCTGTAAATTAACTGATGCAAATCCTAAAACAATCCATGTTAATTCCAGGTTGTGAGGCAACAAAACACACAGAATGCCAAGGGGGTGAATACTTTTGCAATGCACTGTAGGTACCTGAGCTTTAACCCTGTCTCAGACCCAGTACCTGGTGTTTGCACTGAGGGCAGGAGCTCCACTCTTAAGTCCTCTTTGAAAGCCGTCTCCAAGACCTGTCCCAGTAGAGCAGAGCAGGAGCGCCAGTACGCCTGCAGGAAACCAGCATTAGAGCAGCAACAAAGCACTGAGAGATATATAATGGAACGCCATCCTGATTGGCTGAGGAAGAACCAGCATTGAGTTCAGCGTCCGGATTGGCCAAGGGGCTGCAGGCTCCTGTCAATCTAACACACAGCTTGCATTCAGCTTCAGAGTCGGAACAATCGGTTCATATCCAGTGCGTGGCAAAGTCTGTAATTTTTGATCTCCAGTGCAGAAGATTGCTGGTTCGAATTCTGAAATGGTTTGTTGTGTTTCATTCACCACAACCATTAAAGTGGATTAATTAGACACTTTTTTGTAAAACTTCTTCAGATGTTTAATGTTAGTTGCATCAACATAATAGACTGAAAGCCTCAAATAGTCCATGAAGCGCCATGAAGCGTTCAGATCCACCATATAATGTAACCATTTGGAGTGTTCTACATTTTTTGTCCACGTGATGGCGCTAAAGAACCATGTGTTGAGTAATGCTGTGAAGCACTGTTTCACAGGGCTTCATATTGCCTTCACTCGTATTTTAACCTAGAATCTATGATTGCACGTTTCACACACCTCCAGAATCTACTTGTTTGTGTTGACAGGCACCACAATGTGCAGATGAACATACTGGTACACCAAAAGCACGTTTTTGGAGCACAGAGAGGTGGCTATACACTCGAGATCTGTTTGGAAGTGCCGGTACTGTGAAATGGCGCATACTGGGGCCTTACTGAGAGCACTGGGTTGTAATAATAAAAATGATTCTGGGGGAACACCCCTTCCCTTGCGGCCCCCCCTCAAAAAATAAAAATAAAATTCCTGGCAGAGAAAAATGTCTGGATCCCCTGACCCCTGGTCTTCCCTGGTTCAATGAGGTCTCTGTCACCTTGTTCCCCTGGTCTCCCCTGGTCCCTGTGAGGTCTCTATCATCTGGTTCACAATAAGGTCTCTGGTCCCTGGTCTCCCATGGTTCAGTGAGGTCTCTGGTCCCTAGTCTCCCCTGGTTCAGTGAGGTCTCTGGTCTCCCCTGGTTCAGTGTGGTCTCTGGTCCCTGGTCTCTCCTGGTACCTCGTTGACGGCTGTAGGGTCTTTGTCCTTAAACGTGAGCAGAGACAGGGTACAGTTGTCAGTCAGTGGTTTGTGAAGAGGCCATAGTTCTCCGTCAACCAGAGCCAGAACAGAGCTTTCCACATGGTACTCTGTGAGGTCTGTGGAAACAAGGGACAAATTGCAGCCTCTCAACTGGGAATAACAATATTGTACCCGCAAGTGGGGATAAACGACCCCCAGACACCCATCAGAATAAGGTTTGAAGTCCCTGTCCTAGAAACAAAACAAAAAACTTAAAATCGAGTCAAGTCAAAACTTGAGATTTGAGGATATTGGCGTTGCTATGACAACTATATTAAAGCTGGAGTCTGGTCTCTTCCCTGGTCTCTTCCCTGGTCTCTTCCCTGGTCTCTTCCCTGGTCTCTTCCCTGGTCTCTTCCCTGGTCTCTTCCCTGGTCTCTTCCCTGGTCTCTTCCCTGGTCTCTTCCCTGGTCTCTTCCCTGGTCTCCACTCACGCCTCGCACAGCACAGTGGTCAATCACTTTGATCTTTCCTAATCTCTCCCCTGGTCCCTGATCTCCCCTAGTCCTTCCCCTGGTCTCCCTTGGTTCTCACTCACGTCTCGCACAGCTCAAAGGAGTAGAAGTTCCTCGGTTCATCACCAGCAGTGTCCCCTCCACACCTGGTCCCTGCAGAGACACTTCCAGCTTCTCCACTCGGGGAAACAGCGCCCTCTGTCTGCTCTGCTCACGAGAAAACACTGCATTTCTGTGAGAACGGTGAGAGGCGGAGAGCGGTACTGCAGCTGCTGCCGATGACAAACCTGAACCAGAGAGACACAAACACATGTATAACACACACATATAACACACGAATATAAAACAAAAGACATTAGATAAACTTGAACCAGAAACACACACAGGAGACATTAGATGGTGTCAACCTGTACAATAAGCTTGTGCGTGCCATCTCATCTGTAACAGTAAATACTGCAATCAAGAACAATATTGTAATGTCCACTGGCTCTCAAGTTAAATAAAAAAAACAATATACACATTTATTGAGAATTTCTTGACACAGTTAACAGATATAACAAACATGAGCAAATATTCTCTGTAGAATATATTTATGGTAGATGTAATTTTAATGTAAATAAAACTACTTACACCGCCGCAGGAGCACGCACACGCTCTTTGACGCCATCACGAACACAATATAATAAAAAATACAAAAACACGTCTTTAAACAGAAGAAGAAAGGGAAATGTTGATGTTATTGGAGCCGATTGAAGGACGCCATGCCAGCTCCCGTGTGTGCGACGTCCGGTTGGAAACAGCTGAAGTGATGGAAGGTTCCGGTGTTGACGTGCGTAGGGCTAAACAGCAGGTGACGCTGTTACACTATGAAGAAGTCTCAATCAAGGACCTTTAATAATATCTTTATAGTATCACAACAAACGCACGTCGTTTTGTTTTAAGAATAATATTTAAATATCCCTATGTTCAGGTTACAAAAAGCAATAGTATTTATTAATAATTAAGAGATAGGCGAGGTGGAAATGCGAGAAAAGCTGGTTAAAGCTTTTGTTTCATAAATAACACATGTAGTTTTTCCAACATTGTAAAAGTAAAATATTGTGAATAAACCAGACCACAACCTGCTGTCTTCATCTCATTAGAAAACATGTTATGCATTGTGTAAGAAAAAGCCCTGTGAGTTACTATTTGACGCTTTGGGCTGAGCACTGATTGTATGAGTGGGGGTGGTACACTTCTATCTTTGACAAATCTGATCTGAAATGTGACAGAGACCAGAGAGAGAGAGAGACCAAAGAGAGAGAACAGAGAGAGAGAGAAAAACAGAGACCAGAGAAAGTGGCCAGCTGTGAAGGTTCTACGAAAAGAGCAGTTTGCAAAAGCTTACTGTGGCATACAATGCTGCCATGATAATAATGCTGAGTGTCCGACGTTAGAGCAGTGCCAGTCACATGTTTGTGAATGCAGGTGTGCCCACTTCTGTCCTGCTGTACATGTACAGGTGCATGTGCAGACTGTCCCACTCTGTCACAGCTTCATTACCGCATTGAGCTGTTCTACGTCATGGTGCTACTTCCCTTAGCGGACTTCGCTAGTGGGATATCCCAGGTCACAGACGCCAGAGAGATCAAACAAAAAATGCTCCAATTACTAGCGACCCTCCTCTATAAAAGCCCCTGCTCCATAGCCGCGCCCCCTCTTTCACTCTGGCGCCGATTGAGATCTACCACAGTACTTACTTCGTTCTGAGATGACTTCCATTGTTCGTCCGAGTTCCCCTTCGCCCTCCGGCATCGGACGTCGTCGCTGCTCAACTTGTTGGGTCAGGCTCCAGCGCACGGACCAGCATGCCAGCTGCTTCATGTGCCTGGGTTCGGGCCATGCGGCGTTGAGCGCTAGCTGCGCCTCGTGTCTCGCTCTCCCCAGGGAGGAGAGTGAACGCAGGCGCGCGTTCTTCGCCGCTTCAGCGCCCCGTCCGGACTCCTCTCAGGACGAGGAGTCCGAGATTGACTGGGCCCCACTCGACCTTCCGCCCGTGCCCGCGGAATGGGGTGACTGCGAGGTTGGAGAGGCTTCGGAGGACGGCTCTCTCCTCACACTGGATGAGGTGGTGTCAAACCCGGAGCCGGACCGCTTTCCGCTGGACCACATGCCTGGTCTCTACTCCTCCGCGGCGGCCATCATGGATGCTCCTCTACCACCGCAGCCGGTCCAGACGGTGGAGGACTTCACCTCGGTGGGCGCCACCACTCGAGGGAGGAGGAGGAAACAACCCATGTTGTGCCCGCTGATGGACCCAATCCTCCATTACGCGACACGTGAGTGGCCAAAGCCCCTAGCAGCCAAGAGGCCTGCTCTGGGGTACGGCATGTACTGCAGCGTGCAGGACTGGTCCGGGACCGGTGGTGTCCCGGACATAGAGGACTCAGTCCGCATGGCCCTGCAGCCCTCCGCATCCGTGTGGCCCGGCGCCAGACCTCTCCTTCCCTCCGAGCGGGACAGGATGTCTTTGGCAATGCTGGACAGGTGTTATGCCAATGCGGCTCAGGTCGTCGCATTGGCTAAGAACATGGCTTTCATCACGGGGGCCCTGGATAGGTCGCTCTCCTATGGCCAGGCGCTCAGTGGAGACCTCTTGTCAGAAGCTAGGACCACCTCCGCGGCGATCCTGCGCATGAGCCAGGCGTTGGCCGTGGATGGTGGCCGTTCCATGGCTGCAGCCCAAGTCGGGGCCAGGCACCTTTGGCTTGGGCTGGCTAACATCAGGGAGGCGGAGAAGAGACAGCTGCTGGACCTGCCCATCTCCCAGACGTCCCTCTTCGGCCCTGACATGCAGGCCCTGGTGGAGAGACTGGAGTCTGCAGCCAAAGACTCGGCTAGGCTAGCCCCGCACCTAGCTCCGAGGCGCGAGGCCCACCAGCCGTCACGGAGCCTGGACAGAGGCAGAGAGCGTTCGCCCAGGAGGCGTCCTAACCCGTATCCTCGCTCCGCCATCCATCGTCCCCCCTCGACGAGGCCCCCGGGTCCGGACAGACCCACGGGAGGCTCGCGGGAACAGCGCACCCACTGCCGGCCTCCCTATGGTAGAGGAGGCCGAGGTGGTAAGAATTCTTTCAATAAAGGCCGACCGGCATTTCATCAGTACTCGTTGTCTGAGTCTCATTTGGGGGTACGTAACATGTCTAATGTGTCTGATTGTGTTTCTTCCCGGGCCCATAACGTTTCTCCGCTAGGCCTGCAGCCCCCAGAGCAGGGTGTGCAGTGCGCTACGCGAGCTACGAGCTCCGGTCCTCTGATCCGTGCTATGCCCTCCCAGAGAGAGGTCAGGCGGAGGGATCTGGTGAGTAGTGGTGTGTGTGCTTCGGCCGAACAAGTGTTAGCCCCTCTAAGCTATGAGGCTAAGCACGGGGTTTCCCACTCCAGGGGCTCCCTCCCCCTCTATGAGGCAAGAGCCAGGGGGGGGCGGAGCAGTCGAGTCACATGGCTTGAGCAGGCCCGTACTTATGACGTCGGGCCTGCAGGACACGTGACCGCCCCCGGCGCACACGGTATGACGCAGGGGGCCCACCTGCCCTTTCGTCCACCCCCCCCTCCCTGCTAGGAACACCAGGAGAGGGCGGGGCTGTGACGTCTCGTGTTCCAGCTCCCGTTCCGCCCTGCATTGTCCGAGGACAGACGGAGGAAAATTACCCGTCTAGCCAGGGAGGTACTGGCGGGCCCCAGGGTCCCCGCTCGGCTCCTCAGGTCCCTGCTGGGGATGATGGCGGCGGCTCATGCTGTGGTGCGGCTAGGCCTTCTCCACATGAGGAACTTTCAGAGATGGTTCTCACGCCTTAGGCTTCACCCCTCCCAGGACGGGGGGAGGTTGATCTGGGTTCCCCAAATTGCAGCGTCGGACATCAGGTTCTGGCTCACTCCGGGTCTATTGCGGGACGGAGTGACTCTGGCCTGCGCCGTGTCTCTGCGCCGTGTTCACGGACGCGTCACTCGAGGGTTGGGGCGGGGTCCTCGGTCAGAGCTCTGTAGGAGGCTGCTGGTCGGACTCAGCCCGCCACATCAACCTGCTGGAGATGGAGGCAGTACACAGGGTACTGCTGCACTTTTCTCCTCAGCTGCAGGGGAGACACGTGATGGTTCGCTCAAACAACACCACGGTGGTGTCTTATCTGAACAGGCAGTGGGGCACCAGATCCCCCGCTCTCCATCGCATGGCAACGGTGACGCTGCTGTGGGCGGCGCTTCACCTTCTGTCCCTGAGGGCGTGCCACGTCCCGGGTGCCCGGAACGTGGGGGCCGACAGGATGTCCAGGGGGGGCCCACTCCAGGACAAGTGTGGCCTGGCCCCACGGATAGCTGCAGAGGTCTGGCGGAGATTCGGTCGTCCAGTGGTCGACCTTTTCGCCAGTGCAGAGAACGCACAGTGCCCGTCCTGGTTCGCCTTAAGGGCCGTGGACGAACCGCCCTTAGGGGTGGACGCTCTGGCTCACTACCCCTGGCCAGGGGGCCTGCTGTATGCGTTTCCGCCAGTTCGTCTCCTGCCAGTCCTGCTGCGGAGGATCGAACAGGAGGGGAGGTCGGTGAGCCTTTTGAACCGGTGGCGGAGGCGAGTCCCGAGTGTGTTGCTTTTAAGACTGCCCTCTTGCTGGCGTTGGCGTCTGCTAAGAGGGCGGGCGACTTGTGTGCGCTCTCCGTCCATGCGTCTTGCCTGTCCTTGGAGACGGTGACGGTCTGGTGGAGTTGTGGCCCAATCCGGCTTTTCTCCCTAAGGTCATCACTTCGGCCTTCAGGTCGAGAGTGATCAGGATTAGGGCTTTTCATCCGCCGCCGCATGCCTCCCTCGAGGAGGAGCAACGGCACTTCTGTGTCCTGTCAGAATTCTTAGGCGTTACCTGGCCATGACATCTTCATTCAGGTTGGTTGATCAGCTGTTTGTGTGTCTGGGCCCCAAGAACAGGGGCGCCCCGCTGTCGTCTCAGCGGCTGGCGCACTGGGTTGCCACGGCTGTGCGGCGGGCGTATCAGGCTCAGGGTCTGGCCCCCCCGGTGGGTTTCAGGTCGCACTCCACGCGTGGGGTGGCGGCCTCTACGGCGCTCCTCAGGGGGGGCCTCGGTCGAGGACGTGTGCCGTGCGGCTTCTTGGGCGTCGTCCTCTTCTTTCGTCCGGTCTTACCTTTTGGATGTGTCGGACCGGATTGAGTTGAAACCCTGAGGTTCCCCCTCTTAGGGGCCTACGGTTGACTTTCCGCCCTGGTTCAGGAGCTCTTGGGAGAGGTGTCCTGCAGGTGCGGTATGTGTGTGCTTTGGTTAGTCAGGTAGTCCACGTCAGGAGCTCTTGGGAGAGGCGTCCTGGGACTACGGGTGGCCTTCGGTCTGTGTTACTTGGGGGTGTCCTTGGGAGGAGCGGCCCTGTAACACGCAATTGCTTCTTCTGTCCTGAGTCCTCTCACTGTGTGAGGGTCTTGCTCGGGCGGAGCTCCAATCACTCTTCGCTGGCCTGCTGGGAGTACATGTTCCTACGGCCTCCGCGTTGTGTCCCACTAGCAAAGTCCGCTAAGGGACGTAGCACCATGACGTAGAATTAATAGTTACCTATATAACTTAAGTTCTACGAATAGGTGCGTAGTCCCTTAGCTACGAGCCCATCAGGCCAGCCCGGCTTGGCAGAGTTCAAGAGGGGGCGCGGCTATGGAGCAGGGGCTTTTATAGAGGAGGGTCGCTAGTGATTGGAGCATTTTTTGTTTGATCTCTCTGGCGTCTGTGACCAGGGGGTCACGTGATATCCTACTAGCAAAGTCCGCTAAGGGACTACGCACCTCTTCGTAGAACTTACGTAAGTTACATAGGTAACTATTAATTATCACTGGCTTCGGAGCCATGTCTTTCTGGTATGGACTTTTAACCCTTGCGTCCAAAATGAATTGAATGTATTGAATGAATGAATGCCAGAGACAAAAGAGAGAGGCCATGAGAGAGAGACCAGAGTGTCAGAAAAAGATTATCCAAAGATGGGACAGAGGCCAGAAACACATGCATATGAAAACCATAAACAATAGAAGCATCTGTTCTGAGACCTGCGACGCTAAGCAGGGCAGAGCCTGGTTAGTATGGTGATGGGAACACAGTGGTGGTGGTAAAGTGCCAGGCTGTTGGTGTGCCCTTCGAAGAGACGCTTCACCCACATTACTTAAGAACAAGTTTGGTGTGTGTGTGTGTGTTTGTGTGGTGGTAATAAGAGCCTACACTGAATATTCTAGTTTTAGAATAATTGACTTAGTTGACTCATTAACTTTAGTTGATACTTTGAAAAACAAATATTCCTTGTTCATAATTACAATGAAAATCGTACAAAATGACTATGATATAGGAATATATTCAGGTTTAAGGAATTACACGTCATGCATTCATAAGTCACATCATAATGAGGTTATATTAAACATTATGTCATAGAAAAAGTACAATTACGTTCTTTAATTACAGCAATAAATCGAAAACTGGCTTCTTTGCTCTTCTTGGCCGTGGCCCAGACCCTGCATCTTGGCTTCAACTTCCCTAATCTCCTAATGGACAATAAAGGATGCGAGGATTTGACAAATTGTTGAAGAAAAGTACAAAAAAGACGGTTGTTTTGTGCATAAAGTTTATTTTTTTGCAAGAATATGTGAAAGAGAATGACGTTTGTAACAAGGCATTCAAACACAGCTTTCAGAACGCGTGGAGACAAAACTGAGTGGAGTTTTGTGTCGCAATTTCAAAAGCAAAATCAATTGGGATGCAGTGCTCCTGTAGCTTGGTTTAGTTCTGGTTAAGTCCTGGTTTAGAGTTTTGGTCCTGGTTGACACCTAGATGAAACCTGGAGTTCAGACCTGGTTTGGACCTGGTTTAGACCTGGTGTTTGGACTCAGTTGTTTAGTCATTGTTAAGTCCTGGTTTAGATGTGGCTTATACCTGGTTTGGATTTGGTTCAGACCTGGTTTAGACTTAGTTTAGACTAAGTTTATACCTTGAGAATACATGAAAAAGTATTGATTGGACGAGGTTTTCAGCTGTTTTTTGGGCCTTTTCCAAACTCCTTCCACTGAAATATCACTAGTATCTGATGTAGTTCATGCGAGGCGGCCCAGGAATTCACACAAGCTGAAGGTTGCCAAGAAGAATGAGCAGCTTTCAGATCTGGCAATCTCACAGCAAGTCATTTTTTAGAGCAAATATCACAAGTTTAGACCTGGTTCAGTCTCTGCTCCAGTCCTGGTTTTGTCCCATACTCGTCAAAAAGCAACACTGCCCCAATATTATACATGTTTTTCTAGACTCTCCGCCATTTTGTTTTCTCTTTTCTCTTTCCGTGCCATTGTCAAAGTCAGTTGAGATAAACACATCGTGCACTGGGACTCCAAAAAGGTGCATTCTTATTCATTCACTCCGCAGACGATTCTTTTCGACCATATTCACAGTGGTACCATTCAAGCAGATAATAATGCAGAAGTAAAGTGCAAAGGTTTTAGCGGACTTGTCTGGTCTGGTCCTTGGTGACCTGGGTTAGACCTGGGTGTGACCATATTCATTGAAATCCTGTAGTATAATTTTCATTTTCTAGTCTTACTTTAGACCTGATTCAGTCCTCAATCTTTGGTTTAATCTGGTCCTAATGTCCTGCGAGTCCTGGTCTAGGCTCTGACTTGTTTGGTTTCAACCCACTATCAACTGATAAAAGCTGAGGTACCTAAATTTCAGCCAACTAAAAATCCATGTCTCTTATTTCTGCTTAAAAAAAGTTCACTTCTATCACTTGTTTAATGTATTTTAGCCTCTGTCACGTCTTAAGATCAGTTATTTCAAGCAGAACGTGAAAAAGAGAGAACCACCATCATCGTCTTTCAGAAAGTTAGGTACCTCTGCTTTAAAAACCTGGATAGTTTTTGAAAGACACTCATTTTAGTCCAGGTTTAGAAACGATACTTTTGATAATATATATTTTGGTCCTCGTTAACTCTGACTAGTCCTGGTTTACCCCATGTCTCGACCAAGGTTTAGTCTAGGTTAAGACATGCTAATTTTTTATTTAATTACTTGGTCCTGCTTTAGTCCTGGTTTGGATCTGGTTTGGACCTGGTTTAGAATCCAAATACTTTTGCACACCGGTCTTGCTCAGTCTGAACAGGAAATTAGCGGAGTCTCATTTTCTCAGTGGTTCGATCTCAAAGCGTCTCGTCTCCGTTTGATTTGGACGAAGGTTTTGGCACCGTTTGGTTTTTCTGCAGAAACTGGAGAAATTAGACCACAGCATGAAGAACGACAAGAGAGAAGAGACTAAGAGAGAGAGGAACATGAAAAATAGCCACCAAAGACATGTGAAAAGTTGTAAAACCTGAATTTCGGCTACTAGTGTGTTTGCCTACATTTTCCAGAATGCATCAGTAAGGTAGAGATGTGATCAAAGAGAGAGGTTACATTGAGAATTCCAGGTTTTAAGTAGCGACTCTAGACTAGACTAGAGCAAAATGGTTTTAATGCTTGTCTGTAGCCCAGTTTAATTACCACGTTCTTCTTTAGTCCCTCTTGGTCCTGGTTTTATCCAGGCCGAGCTGGTACGAAAGTGTTTTGACTGGCAGAGATTAGCCAGAGAGCAGCTGGAAGCCATGGTTACCAAGGAATTTCCCTGGACACTGGTTTGGTGTGGGTGGGTTTAAAAAATACAGTACCAGATATTAAAGGGTAAAGTAAACAAACCAGGTAGAGTAGGGTAGAGCAAATTAGAGTAGAGTAGAGCTGGTGGAAACAGGGCTTTAGTTTCTCAGTGTAACCGCTTTCATTTTGCGGGCTGTTGCGTTCTTGAATAGTCTTTCTTCCTGTCTGGTCTAAAAGCACCACAGTAGTCCCTCTCCTTATCTGGTTTAAAAGGATGATCACACTTTAGTTCAGCCCTCACTCATTAAACATATAATTAAGTGCTAATTAGTGTATAATTAGCTATTAATTGGTATTTATTAAACACTTATTAGTCCTTATTCTACATGGCCTCATCTAACTACAAACTGACACTTCCCCATGTGGGTTACGTTTATGGGTTCACTATTTAGCAATTAATAAGCTGTCTCTCTATAGTTACTCTCTAACAGAGAGTGACTAGAAAGAGAGACCAGAGAGCGAGATCAGAGAGAGACCAGAGAGAGAGAGACCAGTGAGGGACCAGTGAGAGATAAGACAGAGACCAGACAGAGAGATCAGAGAGGGTAAGGGTACACTAATTAGCACTTATTTAGCTGTTACTTAATGAGGGCTAGTCTAAAGTGTCAAAAAAAGCACCACAGTTGTCCTTCTGCTCCTCCTCTGGTCTAACTGCCCCACATAGTCCTCTCTCTACTGCAGGGTACATTGGGGGCAGCAGACTCGGCTCCGGTCGGGCATGGGGCAGAAGTCCATCTGTCTGACGATCTCTGCGAACAGCTCGTCCACCATGCTCTTGCTTTTGGCCGACGTTTCCATGAAGGGACAGCCCCAGTCCTCGGCTAAGGCCTGTCCCTCCCCCAGAGACACCTCCCTCTCCGTCTCCAGGTCTACTTTGTTTCCCACCAGGACCACGGGCACCTGCTGGTACCTGGAACCAGAGAGGGGAGGGTTAAACACAAACACCACATGGTTTGAACCAGTCTGGACCAACCATTTATTTGTCATGGTCATGCGCTGTGTGTATACTCAATCATCATTATATAACCGTCTCTTGTCTCTCTCTCTGTCTGGTCTCTCTCTCAAGGTTTCTCTCTCTGGTCTCTTTCTTTGATCACTCTGGTTTCACTCTTTGGTCTCTCTCATTCTCTTGTCTCTCATTCTCTTGTACTTCTCTCTCTTGTCCCTCTTATTATGGTCTCTCTCTCTGCTCTCCGAAGGGGCGGATATACATGTTTGCTCCTAATATTAGCGTGGATGGATCTAAACACGGCTCCAGGTTTGATGAGGACCATGTGGTGATAGTTCTGTGAGAAGCTTTCCCACACAGAGGCTTCTCTCCTTCAGATATGAGCAGAGCGGAGGACAGAGTAATGGAAGCGCCTTATTGAATAATTTAATGAAGCTAATGCAGTACTTTCACATGGAACCGGCCGCTGCCCTCGGAAAACCTCCCATCTTTACACTCAGAGGGGGGATTCTCAACCTGCAGGGTGGGGACCAGCGGACCAGCGGACCAGGCCATTTGGACAGGGTTTGACTGGTGTGAGGTATGTAGAGACTGCGTTCACTGTATTTCAACACTACTCTATGGGAAAAAGTTCACAAAGCCGATATATTATTATACTTTCTACTAGCAAACATCATGCAGAGAGAGACCATAAAGAGTAAGCGAGAGAGACCAGAGAGAGACCATAGACAGAGAACAGAGAGCGACAAGAGAGGGACCAGCGAGAACCAAGTGAGAGAGAGACCAGAGAGACTATAGAGAGAGAGAGAGAGAGACCAGGAGAAACCAGAGAGAGACTAGAGAGACTGGAGAGAGACCAGAGACCAGAGAGAGACTAAAGAGGGACCAGAGAGGGACAAGTGAGAGAGACCGGAGAGTGTGACCAGAGAGAGACCACAGAGAAGGACAAGAGAGGGACAAGAAAGAGGGACCAGAGCGAGATTATTAGAGAGAGAGACCAGGAGAGACCAGAGACCAGAGGGAGAGAGAGCTCCATTATATTACTGGTAGTAGCAGCAGATGAACATGACAACAGTATATTTTGGTCTGATTTGAAAAGACTCAATCCATTGAAAAAAATAAAACACCTGCTATAATTGAAATAATAAAGTCATGTACCCCAGCTTTAACGGCTCTGGAATTAAACGAGTAATCTCGAATGACATCGCTGCCATCTTGAAACACTTTCTATAAATGTGACCTTTTCCAAACGCCGCATGAGATGGAGAGAACCGCTGGGAACACGTCGTAAAGCGCCCACACAGACTCTCTCTTGTTTACAACTAAACAAAACAAGATGGCTGCTACTTCCCCCTCATCTGCCTCCAGCTTAAACAACAATTATTACCACCACCCGCTGTGAGAACAATGCCCCAGCAAAGATTTATGACCAGCAGAACACCGGAAAGTCGAGGAAAAATGGAGGAAAACACACAGTGAAGTGGATGGTGTTAATTAGAAAATGTTTTAATCAGGCAAAAGTACGAAGAGAAAAACAAAGAAGAGTTTGTTCAGACTGGAGGACACTGGAGGCTGCAACGATGAAGACAAAAGAGAAACATTATATTTTTATTACTTATATCAGTAGTAACTAACTGGTAGTAGCATGAGAGAGAGACCAGAGAGAGATGCCAGCGAGAGAGAGACACCAGAGAGAGATGCCAGAGAGAGACCAGTAACTGAGACCAGAGAGAGACTACAGAGAGACCACAGAGAGAGACTACGGAGAGAGACTACATAGAAAGAGGCCAGAGAGAGACCAGAGAGAGACTACAGAGAAAGAGGACAGAAAGAGAGACCAGAAAGAGAGACCAGAGAGAGAGACCACAGAGAGAAACCAGAGAGAGAGACTACAGAGAGGGAGAGAAAGAGACTACAGAGAGACCAGAGAGATAGAGAAAGAGAGACCAGAGAGAGTCTACGCAGAGAGAGAGACAAGAGCGAGACCGGAGAGAAACTACAGAGAGATTCTATTACTAGTATTTCAATTTGGAGAGACGAGAAAACAGGAAGTTTTGAGTATTTTATTGAAAGGAGGTTTGGCGCCCTAGGTCCCGGTGCGGCCTTCAGATCGGAAAGGCTCCTGCGATAGAGCGCGCACAATCCCCCGGGACCTAGGCACTGGTGGCGGCATTTGGCAGCGGAAGCAGATTGAAGGCAGATTGGAGGCAGGGTGAAGAGGAGGAGGAGGGGAGGCGGTGGTTGCAAGGCTTCGAGAAGGCAGAGAGTGGGAGTTTCTCCGTTTTTATGCGGCTGGCGAGTCGGTACAGATGATTGGAAGGGGGCGTCTGCTGAGCGATAGGCTGGGGATGCGAGCCGGCCTGGAGGGGGTAATTTTGGTTAACGTCTACCAAATTGAATTTTCGCTGGCTGCATTTCAATTTGGAGAGACGAGAAAACAGGAAGTTTTGAGTATTTTATTGAAAGGAGGTTTGGCGCCCTAGGTCCCGGTGCGGCCTTCAGATCGGAAAGGCTCCTGCGATAGAGCGCGCACAATCCCCAAAAAGGCTGCGTGTTGATGGAGTTTTCGAAGCCTGGTTTGGAGGGGACAGACGTCGTAACTACTCTATTCTGTGACCGCTATCGCTAAGCTGTGACCGCTATCGCTATATGCTGTGACCGCTATCGCTATATGCTGTGACCGCTATCGCTATATGCTGTGACCGCTATCGCTATATGCTGTGACCGCTATCGCTATATGCTGTGACCGCCAGCGCAATGCTGCTAACCATTTTTTGCTATATGCTGTGACCGCTGTCGCTATATGCTGTGACCGCTATCGCTATATGCTGTGACCGCTATCGCTATATGCTGTGACCGCTATCGCTATATGCTGTGACCGCTATCGCTATATGCTGTGACCGCTATCGCTATATGCTGTGACCGCTATCTACTGTGATCAATACTTGCGGATACTCGGCTGCTGCCGCCACCAGGAAGTTTTGTGAGTGATTTATGGAGATGCCAAGAGGCGCTGGGCTGTCAGAATGGTCGAAGTGTCCGGACTGATGTATGAGGAGAGGGCTGATGATGACCAGCGGCCCAGCTGCTGGAGGGCAGAATGGGGGAGTCCTAGGGACGCGGTGCGCGTGGCGGCGCCTATCCGGAAGGAGTGAGCTGTGTAGAGATGGGGAGACAGGTTACAAAGCAGCAGTACGGACTTTAGTTGGGCCCTGAACCAGTTAGATGTCATTGGGAGGTGATCGGGGGTGAGAAATAACGGTCCGTTGAGATCTCCTTTCCGAGAGCGGAGGCGAGTGTAATGCATCATGGATCTGTAGGGACAGGGAGAAGTGTCAGACCGAGCTATGACTATAATGCAAGCGCCTTTGCGTTCGGAATGCTTGAGGTGGAGGTTGAAGTAGTCGGGATAATATGACAGGTCAGAGAAGGCAATGTCTCGGGATGCATTAAAGGTGGCGTGAGTTTGTGAATTCGCTTATGCGTAAGAAGCCCATTTTCATGTAGGATGCAGCGGAGAGAGAAGGTGAAGAGACGGAGGGACTAGGCCGGGGCGAGGGATTCCGTGCAGGGGATCTGGCATGGCGATGGATTGGCAGAAGGGCAGAGGCGTCAGAACTCCTGGAATTTGAAGCGAGAGAGAGAGAGAGTCAGCAATACAGTTAGGTGACGAGGGACGTGACGAACAGTGATGACAAATGTTCGAGACTGAGAGCCATGTGATGCGTCTAAGGAGGATGTGATTTGGGGAGAGGATGAACGACCTCTGTTAATTATTTCAATGACGTCGAGGTTGTCGCACGTCACGGAAATCCTTTTCCTATGCCACGTATGGTTCCGCAGCACGCAAGCTACGGTCACGGGATATATCTCGTGGAGCGCGGAGGAGATGCTTCGAGGGAAAGCGTCGGGCCGGGGCCCGGCGAACCACTGGTCCTGGAAAACCCCCAAAACCCACGGACGGGGCTGCGTCCGTGAAGAACCGCGGGGCATCTGAGACAGGATGATGTCACTGTAAAAAAAAAAAAAAAAGAGATACACCATCCCAGCGGCTCTGCAGACGGGACCGGAACGCCAGGTCGGAGCGGCGCCCCGCGTCCGGCCAGACAGCGTCATTGAGGGAGGAGACGGAGCCGGCGAGGGAGAGGAGTCTGGAATTAAAAGAACAACCTTGGGGAATGATACGGACGGCATAATGAAGATGCCCGAGGAGGGAGAGCAAGGACGCCTCGAAGTGACGGGAAGGCCAAGGCAGACCGGGAGAAAGCGCGGATGCGTTCGAGCTTGTCCAGCGGGAGGGAGGCCTCCATGGCGCGTGTGTCGAGGCGGATGCCGAGAAACTCCAGAGCGTTGGCGGGGCCTGTGGTCTTTCCGGAGTGGAGGAATCCGAGGGCAGAGAAGGCGGGCCTGAGCTTGCGGAGAGAGCCCCCGGAGCAGTCGGAGGGTGGGTCGACTATGAGGGAATCATCGGGGAGATGCAGACAGAGGGGAGCCGCGCGTAATTAAGCAGAAACCGACACGGCGCCTCCGAGAGATTGTTGAACGAGAGGGACTACTCCGGCAGTCAAAGGTGAGGCGCACTGCGAAGAAGAACTCCGACGCCACTTGACCCCTGAACAGCGCCAGTGGTCGGGGTGGATGGCAGTAGCTTGAACGCGACCGGGATGACGGCCTTGGAGAGCCAGGAGCCGGGGCCGAAAGTCTTTAGCAGCCTGATCGCGTGGTCCACGGTAGCGGACTGCAGGGAGAAGGGCGCTGGAGGGAAGGGGCTGTTGATGCTCGGGCGGGCCCGGAGCGGGGACAGGAGAGGACGAGTATGAGACGCTTCTTCCTGGAGTGCTTGCGGGTGGCGATGCCCATCGGGTTAGAACGAGACGGAGAGAAGGGGCCAATGACGTAGCCCACGGACACCTCCCGCGCCCGAGCCGCGTGCCGACTTGGGGCTCACGGAGAGCCGGGAAGAGGTTGCGGGACACGAGACGCCGTGGGACCTATACAGAGCCTGCAGTCTAATGTGAGGGATTTAAATAGAGCTTGCAGTCCAAAGTGAGGTATTAAAACTGAGCCCGCAGTCCAAGTGAGGCGTTTAACGGAGAGCCTGCAGTCCGGTGCGAGGGAGTTAAACGACCTGTAGTCCGAGGTGAGGGATTAAACTGAGAGCTTGTAGTCCAGAGTGAGGGATTCAGCATTGCCCGCAGTCCTAAAAGAGGGATTTATAACTGAGAGCTTGAAGTCCAAGTGAGGGATTAAACAGAGAGCTGCAGTCCAGTGTGAGGGATTTAAACAGGTTTTACGGTCCAAGTGGGGGATTAACTGAACCCGCAGTCCAGTGAGGAGTTTAAACTGAAAGCTTACAGTCCAGTGTGCGGGATCCAACAGACTGCAGTTTTTTTTTTTTTTTTTTTTTTTTTTTTAAATTAAATTTATTTATTTATAGTTATTTATATTTATTTATATTTATATTTATTCATATTTATATTTATTTATATTTATTTATTTTTATATATAAGCGTTCCAGATGTAAGCAGTACCATATATGCAGATCCAATATGAGC